TAATATTAAATAATTGATATATTTAACATGTGTAAAATAATAAAGAATGCTTTATTGATTGAATAATAGAAGAGGAATACAAAATATGTATTTATAGGTGGAGGAATATATTCTAGAATCCTCCACATTAATGGCTAATTATATAAGGTAATATTATATAATAATAACTCTAACTATAATAGGTAACAACCATAATTATACTATATAATATTAAATAATTGATATATTTAACATGCTCCCAACGTCCTGAACGGTGAAGATTGAACGCCAACTTTACTTGAATCGTAACCATAATTGTAATCAGAAACTATAGGCATATCTTCGGCTAGAGTAGACTGAATGCATCCGGCCTAGAAGAGAAGAAGAAAGATTGCCAAGAAAGAGATGTGAAGGCGCTGATGAGGAGAGGAGAAAAGCCGATGCGAACAGACTCATGTTGCTGACGTCGAAAGAGGGAGAAGGTTGACGCGCGCTGGAGTTGTGCACGACTGGGTTAGAGAAGAAACATAAGGAAGGTACTGCCGGAGATGCATGTTGACCGAAGATCTACCCACTAATTGTGCATCATGTTACTCTCGAGTGAACAGGTGCAATCTTGGCGCCAGGAGAGGCCGGTAGTTTAGCGGAGTAGGAATTGATTTAAACCTCTTCTTTTTTTAAAAGTCGTCGGACAACAAAAAAAATAGAAAACTTTGTAGTTTCAGAAGATGGTGAAGAATTTGGGTCAGAGGAAAACAGTGATCCGGCGGGCGGCGGTTAATGGCGGTGCCGCCCGCCAGAAGCGAAAGCGGAGAAATTTAGGTCACCAAGAACGATGGCTCCGATACCATGTAAAATAACAAATAAAGCTTTATTGCTTGAATGAATAGAAGAGGAATACAAAACATGTATTTATAGGTGGAGGAATATATTCTAGAATCCTCCACATTAATGACTAATTATATAAGGTAATATTATATAATAATAACTCTAACTATAAAAGGTAACATGTAACGCCCCAAAACATACCCTAGACTTATTAATGAATAAATAATAAATTAATCACAATTGTTTCAATTAAAATAAATTATTGTTGGGCTTTGGGCCGATATTAAATTTGTTTTGACATCTAATATCAAAATCTGGATAAGTCTCATAGAGATAAATCCAATATGTGGACTATTTGTGAGGTCTTGATTGGGAATCTGAGTACAGACCCAAATCAAGAGTAAATAAAGAATTTGATTAGAATGTGAATATTGAAATGATTTGTTGAAATAAATCATTAGAACAAATGATATGAATTAAATGTGAGAAACCTTTTTGAATAAAGATCAGCTAAATCAATTTTTACTCTGTCAAAGTCAAACACCCAAAAATATGATGTCGGAAAAAGTATTTCAAATAAATATAAAAATTATATAGTTGGATAGAATTTGACTGCCTGATCGCAACGGTGCAAACGGATTTCAATTCGGAGAAAGTTGAACCAAAAAGTGTACCCCGACTGGAACCAAAAATTGGTCCCAATCAGGGACACTGTGCGAACGGCGCCTCCTCCTCCACTTAGCCGATTCCTACGTAGAAGCAGCTCAGCAATGTCCTCTTCCCCTTCATCAACTCCTATATAAGGAGTACTCAAAACCTTCAAACATGCATCATTTTTTCTCAAAATTAGCCCATATAAATCCTGAGAGTGAGGAGAGTGGTCTGGTGTTGTTGATTGTTGTTGAAGTCGCCGGAGCTAGCCACAAACCTCGTCGGAAGTTCCGCCGGAAAATATCCAAAACCTTCGTTAAGCTTCGAGGTAAGTCCGTAGATATATCTAATGACTAGAATGTTTGTATAGATCGTTTCTACGTTCATAAACGGTCGTTTGGTTGAGTTTTGTGTTTGACATGCTTGAAGAACTAAGAATCATAAACCATTAAATTGATGTTAAAACTATGAATTAATGATGCCAAAATGATCTTTGAAACTTGGAGAACATTTCTATATAGTTTAATCGAAGTTTGGAACCTAAAAATGGAATTCCCGAAATTGAAGTCGCGAGGTAGAAGACGATGAACAGTGGCTGAAAAGCCACTGTATGGATCGATCCAGGGGCTTGGATTGATCCCCTGGGAGTAAATTTTCATGGTATGGATCGATCCAAAGGGCTGGATCGATCCCCCGAAGTTCTGATCCGAAAATTTGTCTGAAATTGCTATTTTTGAGCTCTAAAATCCTATTTTTGATACCAATGGATTATGACCATTATAAAAATGATTTACCATAATAAAAATGATGTTTTTAACAACTAAAAAAATGTTATGTGTTGCATGACGGTAAGTTCGGGTGTTAACACTCGAAGCTAGGCCGCTATTTATTATCAATTGTTGTCTTAATTGATGATTATGATAAATGAATATTATGGATGATTATGAGTATTGAACCTACTGATTAAAATAAGTATTTATGATTGAATCATGAATAAAATGAATACATTTATAATTATGAAATGATTTGTAGTGTTAAGGGTATCTAGAAGAACTCTAAGGTATACACATTTAGAATATTGATGTTAAGGCTATCTAGAAGACCTCTAGAATAGATCTCATATTAGT